TTAATCCCTTACTGTGCCTAATATATTAATTTGAAAACTTTACCATAGGTATATATGTACAGGAAAAAAAGATTGTATATCTAGGGTTCAGTACTGTCTGTGGTTTTAGGTATCCCGAATCTCTCCTAGAAGAGTCTTGGAACTTACCTCCCACAAACAAATGGGGGACCACTGTACTGAACCTCTTACATTTCCCTGTAACACATTTATGTTTTTACATAAGCTATCCTTCATTCTTGGGGTGCTATTTCCCACATCTATCCCTGATGAATACTGGCTGGTTATTTAAAGTGGGTGAACATTCTCCTTCAGGGTAGCCTGGAATACTCACTCTTTTCCCTCAAAAGTGTTAATCACTTCCTCTTCTTTAACCTCAAAACATTCATATGTTTTGTTTCATTAACAAGTACTAGAATGATCTGTCTACATGTCTAATTTCACTCCTTAAGAAAAGGGATGCTACCTTACTAAACTTTATGTTGCCACGGCTGTGCACACAGTAGGCTCTCAATAAAAATCAATAAATCAAAAGGTCAATGAATACATAAATTATAATCACCCCACTTCATGCTGAGAAATGGCCCCCATTTTGTTTGACTCTTTCAACAGGAATAAAGGCCATGAACACAACAGTGATCAGTCTACAAAGCAGAGGATACAGTGTCAGGTAACCAAGAGATACCCTGGTGCTTTCAGCATGGGAAGACCAGTGAAATGAGCACCCGTACTTAACCAGATAAAACTGCACAGAAGGAACAGGCAGAGGCCAATGTGCTCAATGACTGTAGATTTGCTGTACCTGATACTCTAGACACTGATTTAGCATCTTCTCGCGTTGCTCCCAAGCTTTCTCCAAATCCTCTCTCTCTTGTCTGACAGCTTGAAGCTTTTTTTCAATTTCAGGACTGTCTCGGTGCCCGCTGCCTATAAGATCTGCACCAAAGTCTTCTAAGGCCTGGAAGGTCGGAGCCTCAGCCTCCATGTCAGCATGATGTTCCTGTGGGGAAGAAGGAGAGGAAACTGGTGAGGCCAACGCCATCACAGCCAAGTCACGTGAACAGAAGCTATGGCTTTTGTAGCCATACCTGGTGTCGCTCTATCAATATCTCAGTACCAGTTAAGTCCTCAGCCATCTCCTGTGATGATACCATGCCATCCATGCCACTGATCCAATTCTGTAGGTCCCTAGAGAAAAAGACATATTGGGATTGACTAGAAAGCCTTGCAACTCGCTTCAGGGCTTTCTGTCTTTGGGCTTTTTCCTCTTTTGAAAATGTTTCCAGATTAATACCTTTGATCTGGCTTTATCTGCCTCACAGATCTTAGGTTTTTGTTTTCACTGCATGACTAACAATAGCAATCCCTCGCATTTGAAAATCTCTTCACATATATTGTGTTCTTCAGTTCTTGTAATAATCCTGTACAGAATTCTGGGAATTCTTTTGTTTTCATTTTGGAGATGGGGAAGTCAGCTTAGAG